TATCTGCATCAGCCAAGCACTTATGGCCCATGTACGTAGCACATCACACATCCATACATCACATCAAGGATAAAATTGATCCAATCAATTAATATCTGTAAAGCCCATTATTAAAGCCCATTTTAATCCATAATATTACCAATTAATATTATCTAGGTATATGGGCTGAATAGTAGTTAGCAGTTCGGCCCATATAGCTTTTCTGCAATTAGTGGGCTTTTGCAGTTTTAACACCTTAAAATTGGGCCTTACAGGTGTGGGCTGAATTAAGTCTCTTAATTAACCATCAATCTCTTGACCCAAAAAGTGGGAAATTAGGGCTAACAATCAGCCTCCATCGAACCATAGAGTCGGTCCAACCAGTTTGGTCCAATCTGGTTCGAATGGGTCTAGGGTTTGATTTTTAATTAAAGATTTAATTCAAGAAAGGATTTGAAATTAAAATTACTAATTAAAGAAAAACAAGAATCAGTCATAGGGCTGTTCGCACATCTCCATCCTACAAAACAAATGTTAGATCTCAGTTTGCAGTTTCACAAACTACAAATCGTAGATAGCAATTTTCATATCTACAAAATCTCCCTCTTTGCGCCGCCAACTTCGATCATGAATAAAATAAAATAGAAAACCCTAGTTTTTCTATTAATATTACATCAGATCGAATACCTATACATTCAGTCTAAAAAAATAATAATAATTACAGACCAGAATGAATAGTAACTGTGAAATCGCAGATTTTCTGCGCCAATCATGATTTCGATCTCCATTTGTACGAACAACCCATAAATCAAGAAAATCATAAAGAATAATTCTAAATATAATCCAAATTTATAAAAATTAATTTCAGATCATTTGCCCTTTAATTGGGAACCGATTTCCCAGAAAAAAAACCATAATCTGCGCAAATCGAGTAGAACGCCTTCTGCCCATTTGCGCAGGTTCAGATCTAGTCAATTTCGGTTCAAGATTTGAACCTGACTCTGATACCACTAAAGGGATGAGAGATCCAACATATGGATGGCCGAACCCTGCAGGAAGGTAGGGCAAATTTTCAAAAATTTTCTCTCTCTCATCTGGGAATCACATTCCTTGTTTTAGAAAACTACTTTTCAATGATCAATCTTGAACCAAGAACCGAACCAGATTTGAACAAATTCAGTAGGAGAGGGATATACCTAATACAAAAATGCAATATCTCCCAACGAAGGTGTTCACACCAAAAGAAAAATGCCAACAAACTGAATTCTTCAGCAAGAATTCAATGGAGGCAGTGAGCATGACTTCTGATCAACCTTTCTCCAAAGACTGATATCAAGACTCTTCTTGATCGCTCCTACAAAGGCAGTGAGCGCAGTCACACTAGTGTTGTCTTCTCTCTGTGTAAACTGAGATCAGATCTCTAGATGCTGGGATGGGCTGAATGGTTCACACTCTCCTCCTTTTATAGCCTTAAAGAGAGCTCATAATCTCATTAGGAGTTTCTTAATCCAAATCTGTATTTGGATAAGGGGTTCTCTTTAAGAGATAAGGATAAGTCCTTATTTTATCTGCAGATTAGATCAGCTCTCTCCAAATCTTATCAGGAGGTTTCCATATTCAAATCCTTATTTGAATCTAGACACTCTGAGTGGATAGGGATAAGACCCTATCCTATCTGCTGATTTAATCCTAGATCCGCCCCCTTATTTAACTAATCAAACTAGGCCAGTTCGAAATGGGCTTTAGGCCCAATAAGTCTAAGTGCTCAGAATGCTTCCAAACTACTGCCCAGTTGGGCTTCTTTGTATGGCGTGCGACCTAAACATTGATCTACACATCAGCCACATGGGTTCAGCCTAGCCTTTGTTACAAGGCCTGGCTGAATTCACTGAAAAGACACTAAACCCCCTGAAGCCCATCACATGGACTCCTAATGGGCCCAACACTTACACTAAGTGGTCCCTGGGCCAAGCCACCTTATAAAAACCCAGGGAYTGTGGGCRGATGCAAGATTAGCCCATCAGGCATTACCCTCAATGGTCTTACACTTAACCTCTCGGCCCATAATGATCAAACACTGCCCGACAAGAGAGGACCTCTCCCTCGGCTGCAAGAAACAGTGTTGCACTCTCTACTCACATGGATCCCGGGAA